CTTACGTTGTAAGTTAAATTGCGACACGTGTTCCACGATTGTCTCCTGCGCTTACATTCGGATTCCTTCATTTCACGAATGATCCACTCGACATTCCGCTTCATAATTTTCCTAGTAACAGCGCACGCTTTCGCCGGCAGAGTTTTAACGGGAAACTTACATACTAGACTGACGAATCTGCATTTCATCACCACGGCGTTGTACAAGTCCCTCTTAACTGTACAGAGTTTGCCTAGGCACGACTTGCACTTGACCGACACGAGCGTGGAGTAAAATTCATCTCTGTTCATGTGTACAAATTTCATTAGTTCCAGCAAGACGCCAGTGTCGAGCAAACTCTCGAGCGTGCTCTTGTCGGTGTCCAATTGTCCACGCGCTATAACCTAAAAAGTACAAGTACATGCTGTATGAATTTTTGTATTATTGTATATATTAAAAATGCAAATGATAATAAATTGATAATCTATACTTACGTATGTATTATCAATGTTCTCTAATAATCTCTCTCAGAGATAAACCTGAGAGCCACGCCGGCGTTTCACTCGATGATGAACGCGGCCGTTACGAGATCTAACTGGTGACATCTTTCGGATGTCGGATTGCAATACAATCGAAAGATATCTTCTGGACAACTTTCATAGGGATATTTTAGATAACAATAAATTGATAACTTTTTGATGTTTTAAAATAGATATCTATCAGATCAACTAATATGATAACTTTCAGATAACAGTCTTTTTCTTTGTTAAGATATCATAAAAAAGACACCTTTAAGACAACAGTAAATAGATATCAATTTTAAGACATACATTGGTTATCTTATAGTAAAATCCTAAAGGCAACCTTAAAACGATAACTTATAGGCACCAAATGGGCATTAGTGCTACCTGGGTAATTTCCTACATTGCACGCGAAGAATCGCGTTATGTCTCGTTGATCTTGAAAAATGTTTCATTTGCCATTTCGAGCTACGAGGAATCTTATATTTTACTATTATTTCCTCGTATAATCATTTATTATAGCAACAGCAATTTTTATACAAATAAACCCGTCAAACTGAATCTCTTTTTTCTATCAGCAAGCTGACAGTGGGCAGATACTGAACTGCCTTTGAACTGTTTTCGAAAAGCGCGCCATAATTGCCCGGAAAATGGCGGACGGTGTCTCTCACGCTCGAGGGACCCTAGGTTGACAGGCGCGCGACGGGACGCCGAGTGTACGTTACATGAAAATTTCGTGGCTGAAGACGTCAATGGCTCGCGGTTGTTGTTCATATTATTTGTAATAGCTTTAAGATAATAGAACGCGAGAGAGTATCGCGAAGCTCGGACGAAGAGACCGTTTTGCAATCCTCGTGTCGGAATATCACTGCAATGGCTGAAAATCGGGACGCGATACTGGCTGACTTTCAGGTAAACCCAGCTGTGGCCTCGCGAGGCTTCTCGCACGCGCAGCGCAAAATGCGTGGCTCTTAGGTTATGGACGTTACGTGCCGAGATGACATTGGCAATAATTCGAGGCGTTCGTAGGCGAGAGCCCGCGCCGGGAGGTCGCCCGGGAATCGGCTTTCCCCGCGACGATCGGGAGGTTAATCGGCCCTTCCGAGCGCGCGCGACCCGTGCGCGTCGAGTCGCGCTGACAAGATGAACCTGCGAAAATTCGCCAGCGAACCCCCGTCGACTCCTTTGTCATGTCCGTCCCGCAGGTCTTTGTTTTAAAATTCGAAAAATTTCCCGACGAGGAATCGCTGACGTGTCCTCGCACGGATACACCGCCGCGACTTTTCGCGGCGCGTCTCGCCTCCCCTTGTCCGCGCGTGTGCGCATCCTTTCAAGTGTAAATTATTTTCAGGCGTGCACCGGAATCGACGATTTCGGGGAAGCTATTTTATATTTGGAGGCAACGAATTGGGACTTGCTGGTAAATAAATGAACACAATGACGTGGTTACAGCGATTGCGCTTTAGGCTCTAATGCCTCGCTCTTCTTCGTTCAGGCGGCGATAAACAAGGCCATGCCCCAGACTACGCAGCAGCTGCCGTCTGAAATGACTCCGGACATAGAAATGGTGGAGGAGATCAAAGTGACGCCGCGCTCGTCCACGTCGAAGCCGCAGACGGTGCAGAACTCGAAAAAGGTCGCGGCAGCCGCGAAAGCAGACGTGGTAGAGAATGCAAAACCTGGGACGAGTAGACCTAAAAGTTGCATGAAAAATAGAACGCTCACATTCCACATTACCTATCTCGAAAACGTTCATAAAATCAATTTGTCCGAGTTGTCCACTTTGAGTAAGTGCGCCTCTTGTCCGAGTATTGATTTATGCGAGTTACAGTGTGTCGAGTTACAGGAATACACGATTCCGTTTACAGGGGAGCTCAAGGAAGCCGTATGGTGTAAAACGAGCGTAGCGCCCTGCCAACAGAATCTTCACGGGTGGAAGAAGGAGCCCGGGACACCGAACACGGTGCTACAAACGTTAGATCTGCCTAGAGAAAATACACTGTACCTATCGCTATTGTCGCAGGATGGCGACGTGGCTAATGAGACGTGAGTTTGTAGAATTGTGTCGATGCAATTTTTACGCATCTCGCTAATCCCCCGCCCGTTTCTCCGCTGCAGCGTAAGTCTGTCGGATCGTATGAGCCAGACCTACACGTTGAACGTGAAGGACGAGGTGCATAATAAAACGTACAAGCTGAAGTTCCCTGGCACGCGTACCGTGTTGGAAGTAAAAACGGACATCTACTCGTTAATAGATGTGCCCGTGCGAAATCAGCAGTGGAAGGGTTGGCCTAGCTCACTGAAGGACGATAATGTAATATTGGCACAAAGCGGCATATGCTATCCGGAGCACGATTTGTCTGTCGGAAAGCTTCCCGCGAAGGAAGAAAAGAAGGTGATGTCTCGTGAAATCGGTTCTTTGTCATTCGATAAGTTTGCGTATGAGATCATAATGATGTTCGTGCTATTTCAGAAGGTCGTAGATTTAATTGACAGCGACAGTTCCATAGACGAACCGGAGGATGTGGAAGAGTTCGACGTTCCGGAAGAGTTCACTGGCGACGATGATATTTTCATAGACGATGTTAAACCCACTAAAATTGAGCGTCTCAGTGAGTGCCTCGGAACATGGGGAAACTTACTTTTATTCAAGTGATGTAATAGACCGGTACTGCAATCGAATGAGATTTTGTTTTTCGTTGTAAACAGTGCCAGAAAATGTAGTGGACGAGGTGATGGGTACGTTACATTTCGCGGAGCAATTCGAGAAGCGATACGGACCGGCGCACCCGGAGTTCTTCACTGGTACATTCGAGGACGCCCTGAAGGAATCGTGTCTGAAGCCAGCGAAAGAGGTTTGTTCTGGACACCGAAGAGCGCGGCGAATCTTCAAGCTCGAACGAAAATATTGTCTTTTGTACTGTTGCAGAGAAAATTATTGGCTATATATTTGCACCACGATAACAGTGTGTTAGCAAACGTCTTTTGTACTCAACTGTTAGGTTTCGAAACGGTGCTTCAACTTCTTTCGGCAAATTTTATAGTATGGGGTTGGGACTTCACGCACGAATCTAACAAACAAAGGTGAAATTTAGGCAAATGCGCGATGTCAGAAATTTACATCGAAATTGCGCCCAGTTAAAGGTTCGTTTGATTCGCAGATTTTTGTATTCGATCACTCAAACCCTTGGTACTGTCGGTTCGTTGGCTGTATCGAGCATAGATGTTGACACCTTGCCAATTCTCATGATTATTATGAGATCTAGATCCAACACGGAGATATTTACTATCGTGCACGGCAATGTAGGTGTTAACGAGTTGCTAACGAATTTGGTACAAGCCGTCGATGTGTTCCAAGTAAGGAAGTACAGCTTTTATTTCACGCACGCGCGCACGCTATTATACACTTGAAAATTACAACTGCACGAGTGTAACTAGACTGGTGTATATAACTGTTTTTCTTTTTTTTACTGAAATAGGAGCAAAGACGAGCCGATATTGGTGTTGAAGAAGAGCGACAGGCTAGAGAAAGAGTCAAGCAAGAGCAAGACAAAGCGTATCAAGAAAGTTTGGCAGCCGATAGGTAATTAAGGAAATATATCTAAACTGTTGCTTGAAAGGAAAAACTATGCATTCGTACATTTATAATATACGATATAGGTGATTAACGTTAGAGAAAAAATGCAATGTTTGTATATGTTTTAAGAGCAAAGGACGAAGCGAAACAGATGCAGGAAGAGCTTGAGAAGAAACAGAAAGAACAGGCTGAAAACGAAAGATTAGCTGAATGGGCAAAGAAAGAGGCTCATAGGCAAGCTGTTGAATCTAGTTTACCACCCGAACCGCAACAAGGAGCGGGCGACGGCGTAATGAAAGTAAGAGTACGGCTTCCGGCAGGAAAATTCCTGGAACGTAAATTTCAATCGGATACACCGTTACAAACGCTCTTTAATTTCCTTATCGTGAAAGGTTATCCTACGGAGGAATATAAACTCCTATCTAGTTGGCCTCGAAGGGATGTAAGTAGATAATGTAAGCATTTAAGTTCTTATTATGTAGATATTTGTTTATGTGATTTTTTTACATCATATTTCCACTTTTTAAATAAAAACCGAAAAAGTCTGAAGCAAGCCGCTCGAGAATTTTTGTTTTACTTTACTGTGAAGTATCTGCGACACACGCTGATACATTAAACGTGTATCTTGTTTCAGTTAACATCTATGGATTCAAAGCTCACTTTGATGGAACTGAAATTCTGTCCCCAGGAAACAGTAATTTTAGAGGAACGATAAATAATAATACGTTGTAATTAAATTCAAATGTAGAAATTAAGTGTCGCGAATATTCTTCAAGAATGTATTTATTTAACAACTTCGAGATAGCGATTACCGAGTCCTGTTTATCTTGCGACTATACATTTTTACGCTGAATTCTTGTACGATAAAGTCGTATATCATGCACTCCGCGCGAATATATAATTTTTATTTTATAAAAAAAAAGAAAAAGTTCTTTCCATGCATACGTATGTTATATATTTTAAATTTTCAGGAATAAACTGTATTTCGAACGAATTGTATTTCGAATCGATTTCAAACAAAAGCTGCCTCTGTTTATTACAAACGTATACAACTGAGCTATGTAAATAACGGGCAATATAATGGAATTCATATAGGGATGTATAATTTAATAAGGACATATAAATTTATATACACACATATATATATGTATATTCGATATGTATGTATATATGTATGTATACCGAAAGCAAACTTTTTACTCTATGAAATTAATTTTATTCTTTTTTTCCCGCATTATAAATATAAGGACGCAGCAAACACGATATCCCGTTTTATAAGTTTGATCGCCTCGCTAAATTTATTTTCTAGGTCTGTATTTCCAATTCCCTTTGCAGCTTGGCATAATTGTCGAAGCACCTCCTCTAAGCGTCGCATACACCTGATGATAGATCCTGCAATGTGTTTTATGCATATACATATATGTCACAGAAGAATGCTTCAGTTTATCGTCATCGTAGCAACGAGATATGCTAATATATACATTACCTTCAAATATGTCTGTCATTTTGCAAATTTGTAAGAACGTTGCGCCTTTACACCAAGCGTATATAACGTCCATTAAATACGGTTTAAATCTGTCGACATACGTATCCTCGTCTAATTCCAGACTGGCCTCTGTCGATACCTTTGCTATTCTTCGAGCCAAGTCTTGCATCTGCCTGAGCGGGCCGCTTAATTCCTCTGTACTTTTCGGCATTTCGTTCGACTTCTCGTCGCATACAAAACAGCTGATCAACGCCACCATTTGTGGCACGCTCAAAGCATTAAAGAGACCATTAAAAATCATCTCGGTCATCAACAGCTCATCGGCACCGTTCAACTCGCAAGCCACACGTCCTTTTAATTCTATAACGTCCGCCGATGTGCAGTACGCCATTCTCCTTAAAACTCGCTTCCTACATTTCAGTTCGTCCATTTGAAGTAACGATTTGGCCTGCTTGAATTCCTCCTTGGCTTGCTTGAGCTGAGTAGCCAATTCTTCCTTGTGCAAAAATTGTTCGTACAACACATTTACATTGGGGTCCTATAAAAAGACAGATTAGGACAAAAGCTCAAGTTAGCTGAAAAATTGAATTTTATGGAGAATGTATTTGAAAGGTACTTTGAATATAAATATTTCAAGTACACGCACATACTGCCGCGACAAGAAAATTGGCTCTTACCTTATGCAAAGAATGTGCATATAATCTCGCCTCTAATGCTTCAATTTTTTTTACAACATCTTTAAAGGCCTGGTCCTCTATATGCATGTCTGTAATAGGATTAAGCAACGGTGGACCGTCTGAGAATCTCTTTTTCACTTCTCGTATCGTTTTCAGTACACTCTTCCTATTATCAGGCGGTCTAAGGTCTTTTGGATAATATAATCTGAGTGAACTGATTTGCGAAATTAAATTATGCATAACAGGAACTACTTCTATTTCGCCTTCTTCACCCTCGCGACATGGAATTGGATTGCCTTCTTTAGATTCTTTCGATAAGTGAAGTAAAATGTCAATGACAATAACAGTCTTGTCCTTTACGGGATTTTTCGGATTTTTCTTCTTAAAATTCACTACGATACCCCAATCGAACGTTTCGTTATCATTTTTCACCTACAATAATGTAACACGAAATGAATTTTGCTAAAAATTCTGCCGGCGGATGGCTTATGTTAAATTTATGTTAAATACGTACTTTTACTAATCTTCCAGGCTGTAGAAACGGAAGCAAGTACTCCGGTCGTGTTAGAAACGATTGAAACTGCCCGCTGAGCCGATTGAGTTGTTCGCGTATGTCATGATATGAAGAAATCTCGTCGTACCTCTCTACATTTACAGTATTGTAAGCGGTACTTAATTCCTTCACCTCTGAAAGCGCAATCAAGATTAACAATTCACTCTTCAATCCTTTACTGCTACTGACGTCACGCTGAGCGGCAATCATGACTTACTATTGTACAAAACTGGAATACCAGCTTGATTTTGAAACTGGAAGAAGCTTCTTTCCAACATGTACTCTGGATTGATCTCTTCTACTCGTAAAAGATTAAGAACCATATTGTAGGTCAAGTGAAATGCGGAGTTGATTGGATCCGGTTTTCCTTGAACGATGGCTTTACCAACGACGGGACTCACTTGCTCGTCTATCATCAATATGACAATTCCTTTGTCGTCGAGACCTCTTCTGCCGGCGCGACCGGACATCTGGATATATTCACCCGACGTGATCCAACGGAAGTCCTTGCCATCGAATTTACGTGGTGCTGTAAACAGGACTGTCCGTGCTGGCATATTTAAGCCCATTGCAAATGTTTCGGTGGCGAAAAGCGCTTTGATCAGACCCTCGCCGAATAATATCTCGACTGTCTCCTTCAGTATTGGCAGGAGTCCACCGTGATGGATTCCTATTCCGCGCCGCAAAAGCGGCAACAGGTTTGTAACTTGCGGTAGCTTTTTGTCCTCGTCGTTGAGAACGTCTACCGCGTTGTTGAAGACCTCATCCACCAGCTTTTTCTCCTCTAACGTGTTTAAATCCAGCTTGGCCATTTGCATCGCGTAAACCTCGCAATCTTTTTTCGAAAAGCTGAAGATTATCACGGGCGCGAAGTTTCTTTCCATGATCATTTTCACCATCTTGAAGATATTCGTTTGTCCGCTGTTTGTAGCGCGTAGACCACCTTTACGTCCTTTCGTGTCGCCTTTAGCCGCGTCGCCCGTGTTCTGCAGGCCTGCCATGGCTCTGTTAAAATTTTCCTCTCTGAACTGACCGGTCTCGTCGACAACCTGTTTTACAGTATACAGATTCAGTGTACGGACAGATACATTGACATACAAAACGGACCGAGTGTAAAGCTAATATTACATTTGTCGTGCGACAAATTTTTCAAGCATGTCGATTGGCTGCAGAATAGAAAAGTTCTCGAGTATCTAGAATTTTTCTAGCTTGTAGCCAATCAGTACGTTTCTCTTTAATCGAGCGGCACAATTTTTCATTACAGATCACCACTGACCAGATGTATACCGTCACCACCAACTGGAAAGATATAATGTTGTAGCGGAGTAGGCCTGTAGTCCGTCGACACCACGTGGCAGGGTTGATTGTGCAAATGCGCCACCCACTCGGCGAATTGTCGTGCGTTTGGTATAGTAGCGGAAAGAAATACGTAGTGCACATTGTCCGGTAACAGTATAAGCGTCTCCTCCCATACCACGCCTCTCTCTTTGTCGCGCATGTAATGAATCTCGTCGAAAATCACCCAACCAACCTCGCGCATCACCTATGCAACAAGTATTATATAGATTTTTTATTTTTCTCCCTGTACAGGATGTTTCGCGTCAACCGTCAATAATCTTTGGCTGAATAAACATCGATCTTGTTGGCGAAATAATTGACCACCGAGCATTAACGTCATATTTGTGAGAAAGATATGTAAGTATATTTGTTATTAATTTTATATTAGCTATCTAGATACGGTGTACAATCTATACAGCTTGCGTACGCTCTCTATAAAATAAAATGATAAAACTTTTCTAGAACAAAGTAGTAAAATAATAAAACAATAAAAGAAAATTAAACAAACCTCTGAACCTCTGTAGAGCATATTTCGCAAAATCTCAGTAGTCATAATTAGTACACTCGCTGTCGGATTAATAGTAACATCGCCCGTTACTAAACCAACATCCTTAAATTCCTCATGAAATTCTCTGTATTTCTGATTGCTCAGCGCTTTGATCGGAGTAGTGTATATTACTCTCTGCTTATCACGGAGCGAACACGCGATCGCATATCTGTGTGAGACATACAAGATGGTGGCACGAAACTTTAATGAAAGTGTTGGTCAGGAGAAGCACTCTCTGATGATAAAATGCGAGACACTTACTCGGCAACGACGGTTTTGCCAGCCGACGTGTGCGCGGAGACAAGAACCGACTGGTTGTTCTCGATGCATAAAATTGCCTCCTTTTGAAATGGATCGAGTATAAATTTGTACTCCTTGGCCCGCTTGCCCTGACTGTGCTCCAAAGGTACGTAATCCTGATCGGGAGGGATAGCAATCTCGTGCATACAGGATTCTACAGCTTCTACCGTATGCACTTTTATACGGCACGCCACCTCCTCTATACTGAAGAAATAATGCGGTTACGTCGCATCTCGTTTCTACGCCCGCTGACCACCGGGCGTCAGTTACGCTGCATTTGTGTTACTATATAATTTCTCACTCAACAATGTAGATGTGATATAACACGTGTGTTGTATTACATTGTTGAGTGACAAATTCTAACGTAAATGCAATGCAATTGATGCTCGATGTTCACTGGGCAGCATAGTTATAAAATAAATAAAGACGTGCACGCAGACGTAGCGAGTTGCTAATACTTGAAATCAGGATTGGGTAGTGTCTAGTTAAAGAGATAAGAGTCAAGTTAAAAAGTTAAATAATTTTAACTTAACTTAGTTTTAATTTAGCTCTCTCTTAGGCCCGGTTTTTCATTTTCCGGTTGATTGTTAACCGGAGGTTAATCGACTCTCTGTCTCTGTTTAGATACTAATATAAAGAAAGATAGAGAGTCGACTAACTTGCGGTTAACAATTAACCAGAAGTTAGTCGACCCTGCATCTTTTTCTAATGTTATTATCTGAGAAGAGACAGAGAGTCGAGACTACCATCTGGCTAACAATTGACCAGAAAGTGAAAAACCGGACCTTAAAGTTAGCGATGCCACGAACAAAGGCCTGCCAGCTCTAAAATGTACTGTGTACGTGTACCATAGATCTTCTTTAACTTCTAACTCTTCAAGTTCTTTTTTATTATTAACTCAACTTTTGATTCAATCAATTGTATTACGGATAAACTTGTACCTTAACTAAGTTAAAAAAAAAGACAACTTACCCAACCTTGCTTAGAATATTAGATTGATAATATTAATAAAAATAATTGTTTATTTGTACGCTCTGAATGATCGACACAATGCAAGGCTTTACTTGATATCATCCAAGACAGGCTCGTGTCGCAACTTTTTGACAGCCAACTTGTCATCGTCCGCGTCGAGTTGTCTCTTCACCCCTGCCTCCGGCTCGATCTTCCTGCACACGTTTGAACAAGTGAGCTTCCGATGGAGGTTAACTCAAGAAATCGGGCTACGTCCCGCGTTAAGAAACGCCGCACTTACTGTGGAATCTCCGGTATCTCCTCGTCGTCGCCGTGCTCATCGAAAACGTCGAACAACTCGTCGGTAAAATTCGCCATTGTCTAATATTCCCTTAAAAATATTCCTATTATCTCAACAAAACGGCACGTCTACCCACGTTCGTGTCGTTGCTAACCACAGAGAGAGGAGAGGCCTGAGAGCGGCCACGGCCGGGATTTAGAGGCGATTCTCGGATGCGAGACGCCCTCTGTGGAACATTAGAAAACGTGGACATGAAACGTGGCCGATAAAACAGAGCTATTGATTTTCCGTTACGTGGGCGAACGGACCAACTGTAGAAGCCGCTTTTCCGCGATGCCGATTGGTTTTCTCGAAGCGCGGTGTGCTTCGCTTCTAGTCTTTTAGATTCATTGTATACATCAATTATTGAGGTAAAATCTCGAATCTTGGTAATTAGAATTTAAGCAGTTTAAGTAACAACGACTTTTGTTACGAAACATAGTCTCGATTGAACAGAATTGATCGTTAATTTAATCAACACCAATAAGTCCGCGGAGTAATACACAAAACGTAGTAACAGTCACGGAACAAAGTAACGTAAATTATTAAGTACGGAATTTTCTGTTTCGTAGGCGGGTCAACGAATTCTCAACGTTTTTTTGTTGTTTTTCACTCGGCGCGGTATCGTACGACGTTACGCGGGCCAATGTTTACCTTCAGTTCGGCGCGTCTCTCACTCGCTCGCCGAACGTCGAGCCGGCAGGCAGCAGCGAGAGTCGCTCCGTGCGTCGTATTACTTTTGCGTTATCGGTTTCCAGGACTCGATCGCGATGGATGCAGGGATAAAACGCTATTGATTTGCACACCTTTATCAGCAACAAGTAACGTACCTTGATTAATTACGAAGTTTCTACAATTAACTTGTAACGAGAAACGAATTGCGTGTCGAGGCGACGGCTCTTTATCAACGTCTTTCACGAGACTAACTCGTCTAAAATATGAGCGTAAACCGTGGTATTCTGTCGCGGTTACGTCTCGTTTACGCGCCGCGCTATTAATTATCTATCGATTCCGTGTAATCTGTTACATTTTCGGGGAAAAAGAGAGAAATTTGTGCGACTTCGGCGTTCGCCCTGTAATTCGCTCTGTCGTTCTTCGCAACTCGTACGGGCAGGAAATACAGAGAGTCGCTTATTGCGCGTCGTTACATTAAACGATCCCGATTAACTGTTGCGATTAATAACTACTGTTTATCGCTGGAAATTTTGTTCGCACAACTTATCTCGCGGATTGGATTGAATGACAAAGATTGTAAAATATCGTTTCGTTGCGGACTAATAACTATATTACAATTCTTTACCGCAGATTATGCCTCCGGTGCTCGCGTTGCGTTTTATATCGTCAATTCAAGAGTGTTTTATCCATTGTCCTTATTCTTCCGAATCAAAAGTGCAAATTGTTAGTTCGAGTAATTTGTATGACACGCGATACCCAGTGAGAAATGATTCGTCGATCGACGTCGAAACGACGTCGAATCGACATCGACACCGTCGAATTGACGTCGATTCGACATCATTTCGACGTCGATCGACGAATCATTTCTCACTGGGTATTTGTTAATAATATTTCGTGCGTTTCGCGGTATTTCACATCGCGTACGGGAGTGCCCGAAATTTCGCGCGATCGATGATTTTCGCGAGTGAGCGCGTGTGAGCGCAACAAGGAAATCTGAGAGGATGAGGAGGCCAAGGAGGCATCGGGCAACGGCGGAGAAATGGTGAGGTGTCTTACATCTTTATTTTATTTGCTACTTGTGCAGAATAACGCATCTGTTCTGTGTTTTTATTTTATTTATTCAAATGATTCGGACGAGGATTCGAATAAGTGTTAGAGACAAAACCATACGTATGAAAGTGAGTTCATATTTAGAAGGAAGACTTACAATTACTTCTTTACTATACAATTACTTCTTTGCATGTATAGAAATTCTTAAAAATAAACAATGCCCAACCGCATTGACATTTCTAGTTTTAATTAAATTGTGATCGGAAAATGGATGGAATGACATACACGCACACACATATGTTGCGTTTAAATTCATCAAATATATTTAATAAATGCATCATAAAATTTTACATATTCTATAACAATTTTTGTCAATTCTTCAAAATATCAATTGCACATATCACACGGGTGTCCAAACATTAGCAATTACGTTCTTCACGATAAGCGAAGAAAAACTCGGAAGATTGGCCACCAAGCGTACAGCGTTTCTCAATCTTTTTGGCTCCGCGATTCCTCACAATGTAAAAAAAAAAAGTAAAATTTGTACCCTGCGACCTCCCGGCAAAAATACCCAATAGGGTAGAGCGGGACTATTTCGCTCAGCTAGAGAAAGATTTGTATAATTTTATAAAATTATTATTTCGCGACCTCCAGATCGAGAAACGCTGCATTACATTATAAAATCTTATAGATATTATACTGGAAGACTGCAGAATAAGCATATCAACGGAGCCTTTTTTGAACTTACTCTCTAAAATTTGTGGAGTGAAAATACTGCCATGGAGTGAAATGTTTACTCCATTGGAGTTAATATTCACTCTGTTGGAGGAAATATTCGCGCCAATAGGGTGAACATTTCACTCCACGGCAGTATTTTCACTCCACAAATTTTAGAGAGTACACTTATATGTCTCACTTTTTAATTGTGTCAATCCGAAATAATTAATGTACCACATACGACAATCGAAAGGTCGTTTGAAATTATACGTGCTATCAAATGCATAATTTTATACAGTTGTTTCAAAGCTCAAGTTTCAAGTCTCAGCATTTGTAATGGTTGATTATGCGTTTGATTGCATACTTCATTAAGCTTTATTTATTATTGCATCGATAAAACTTTATATCATGATTATTATATATTATATAACTTTGTTAATTTGTTTTTATCCAACAACAGGCACAATTTGTAACATTAGAAAAATTAAGATGTTTGTTATAAATATAAGTATATCTTTTCCTCTCAATATTATATATTATAGAATTTATATGTTAAATATTATAACTGTATACAACAGATGGAATGTGGTTTTATGCTCTATAGCATAAAATAACATGTTATATTAATATTTTTCTCTAATATGTTTACACTAATTGTAAGAGCTCGTATTTTACATGGTGTCGTACAATTCTTTTTCGTTGCAAATTTATTGTGAGGAAATGCCCTTTCTCCACAGGTACACATTGGTTCTTAAATTACAAACGATGAAAAAGTGTAAAGATGTTATAAATAGAAGAATATATCTTTTATATCTCTTCTCTTTACAAATATCATTGTTTGGATAGACATTTCTCTAAGCAAATAGACATAATTTGTTTACTTGCTTATATCAACAGAGGTCTAAATCAATTGATATACATACAAGTGGTATAAATAAATGACAAAGTTATAATTGAATTTTGTTAGCTAATTAAGTATATTAACTTTGAGAATGCAACTTATTAAGTAGTAATGCCTATTATGTTTAAACAAAATAAGCTATGTTTGTTAAACAACAAATAGCTACAATTATTTATTTACTTATAGAAAGTTAATATATTATTTTTAGAATCTTTATATTATTAATATTAGAATTCTGGTTTCAAAATTTTAAAAACTTACTGATACGTTTAAAAAATAATTTTTGGTTAACATTTGACTCAATAAAAATAAAATTAATGTAACATTAAGTTTCACAAATATTAAATAAAAAATAATATATAATTAATCTTCATTATATTAAAATACTGTTAGAAAACTATATTTACAAAAAAAACATTATTTGAGGTATTAAGAATTATTGTATCTAAAATATTATGTCCTTATATTTTTAATTAGACATAAATCGCTTGCTCGGTGAAAATCCGACCAGCCGTTGTCATATCAGGCAAGAACAAACACATAAATAGGCAAAAATTTAAATTTATATCTCAAAGTAATAAAATCTATTTATCCTTCGTTTGTTCCTTAATATGAAAGCCCAGATAGCACAGTAAATTCGCAAAGTATTCTTCAAATTTTCTGCCTTTCTGAATTGTAATTCTTCAGGAATTCATAGAAGAATACAATAAGAATGATTGGAGAAATTACATGTACCATAATGAATTTTTTACGAATACTTTGAAACGAACTGATTGTAGCTTTGCGTTGCATAACAAACCGACAGAAATTTTTAACTTGTGCTCAGACGCAATGAATTTTCGAAGAAATTCATTCGGCAAACTTATGTCCACAACGCAGTCGGCATCATTCCTTCTACTGTTCCAGCCGCGGGTTTTAAGTCCTCATTGCATAAGAAATTTAATGGCAGGTCAACCAAGTGGCCCTTTAAACAATCATCCGTTTGATTTAAACAGTGAGGCTATGCACAAACATTTAAAGCACCGGACACATACCTTTATACTGTCTATCATTTCTTGTGCTAGTAACGGCTCAGAAATGGAGAGCGGTACTTTTTCTTGATATTGCTTCAGTATAGCGAAATTGACTACTTTATCCGTGGGAATACACTGAAATACTTCTTCATATATTTGCGTGTTTCGCTTGCTTCTAGCGCACCATACGTCCTTGTAGAATGATTTTATAATAGCGTCATCGATATTGACGTGCTCTTTAGTATTCAGCAGTCCCAGATGCTCGCGGAATAATTGTTTTCTCAAGGAAGAGGCAAATTTGCCACAAGAAAAGGGTATGTTATTCATGCGTCCATCCTCAAACTCCTGGTCCTGTTTGGCAAATATTACAATTGATCGATTTAAATTGATAAAAAAGATACAGAATTATAATAAAATTAACGATTTCTTGGATATTGCGCATAGAAATATTTTCATCATTTAGAGAAAACGACTAAATACCAACTATTTAAAGTTTATTCATCATTGAATGTTGCATTCATTTAATATATATCTTATCGCATTACATATTTATTTACAAAGTTACTCGCAAATGTTTTGCATAATTGCATAAAGAAGTCGATCGGTTGTACTCTGTTATATATTGAATACACAGACATAACACAGAGCAAATATGGTAAACACTCACATGAATTATTACAGCTATTTCGCTGTCTCTCGTAGCAACCATACTTCTGTCATTTATATTAGCTGACCCACAGATCACTGTGTTGTCATCTATTATCATAAGCTTACTGTGAACATAGATAAGCTCGGTTACCATCGTGCCGTTTAACATAGAATGAGTTCTCAAGCCGTGGAACGTGATGTACTCGCTGGGATCCTCTATACCTGCCTCCAACAGCTGAGTTAGAATAGCATCTTTTCCCCTGTTGTTTGGTCAGACAGAAAAAAATTTAGACATGCCGTCTTCTTTTCAATGTACCACTGAAAATCGCAGTGGTATACTTATAACTGTAAATCAGTGACTGTTCACTGTCTCCAGCGATAGTCCACTGATAATCCACTTAGAGAGTATACTTAATCGATACCTCGATATAGAATTATAATTCCAATGTGTTATCGCCCGTAATGCCGTCCCGCTTGGCCCTCCAACTTCTCCTTCAAAGCCGGGCAACAACGGCATTACGACAAACACCCTGAACACGGCGCCTTCCCTGTGCGCTCTCAGTATTCTTTTCAATAATGTCTCACCGATTCGATTCTTCACGCAACCTTTGTCCATGGAGGCAAGCGTTATGAAAAATTGATTTTCTATGTATATATATCTACAAGTTTATTCACGAATTAGCGAAATGTCACATGGAATTATGAAATGCACACGTGTACGAAATCCTTACCTCTCCGCTTCACTGATCGCCTGGATGTATGCCTCCTGTATACTCCGCTCCACAGTCTCTGAATCGAGGAAGCCCGCCGACCAAGAGCTCACCGAGCGTAGTACTTGACACCGGACGTTGTGCTTGCTTGCCTCTTTGATAAACGGAGCACAGCTCTTGCAATCTTCGTACGATTTCGGTAATAGATAAGGATAGCACCGATTCACATTTGCTTTTTCTAGCTACAAGTACTTTAGTGTCAGTGCTCATCACTTTTATTTGTGTATTTGAATTTACGATATGTTATCAAGGCACGTTATACCTTGGCGGCATTCCAACGTTGTATAAAATGCCTAGCCACATCTCTAGCGGCAGCGTTTTGCACCAAAACCCCTATGTCGTGCCAGGGCATCCTGGGGGTGGTGGTTCTATCTACCAGATCCTGATACGGCCTCTCGAGATCGTTAAAGTCTTTGACGATGAAATTTGTGTAGTCTTTACCGAGCCACAATTTTGTCGTGGGTGTTAAACTGCAGGCAAAATCCACCGTGTCCTCAGGTTCCGGTAGCGCAAGCTTACTAAATTAAGGAAAAATTGGGGTTTAGTTAGAGAACGAATATAAAGCGACGACGATGTCGAACGGGAACAGGATTCATACTTCACCGCGACATCATCGGCGTCCGCTTCGTGCGAAGTGTATACCATATTAATTAATTCGTGTCTCTTCACTCTCACGGTGTTCTTCATCTTATCGACGGTCGTTTTGGCGACGTCGAACAGATTCTTCCTTTGCATTTCGGGAGTGTTACACTTGACGCCGTCTCCCTTTTCTTGCAGCATAAAGAGTGCATTATCCGTTGACAACGTTGACAGTACCAAATCCTTTTGCGTCTTTTCGTCCATCATCGGCCTTTAAAGATAAATCAATCACGTTTACACTCTTAAGCTTAGTCTACATTCAACACCGATAACACTTACAACAAAGGCATGGATCTCGTGGTTGCCATAGCTATAGTGTTTGTTGCTATCGCTAATGGCAATAGCACATGTCTCTCTGTACAGCCCAGTACCTTTTTACTGCTAGTATTAGTCAGCTTATCTCTCGACGGAATGTAGATACTCGACTGGTGAATGGATTCTATTGTCAATGGTATCATTAGTTGGCGTAAAGAATAGATATTAAGAAGAACATTTATACATTTACCTAAGTCTGTCAATTTGTGTTCATTGTTGTCCCACCTGCCGTAACATAAATCGATGCCACCGAGAAATGCTAATGACTGATCAATGACTACGATCTTTTCGTGATGAGCCCAAAGAAACACGCCTGCCCTCGCGTGATCCGGATGTCTCAATACCTTTATGTTCTCAGGACATTGCTCCACAAGTCTCTGTTTGCTGTAGTAACTGTTTATGCCCAAAGCGACCTCAATCTCTTTATATATCAGTACAAATATCTTGACACCTTCACCCTACGCAAGAATATATCTATACAATGCACACTCTTGTATTCATTGATCATAAATAACAATTCCTCGTTACGATTAGTCAGTGGAGGAAAATCCTCTATTATGAGATAGTAGGCTTTCAACATTCAAATTCAATCACAAATCTTTTCTCGCAACAATTACACGATCTAACAATCAATTTTCCACTAAACAGATTTCCCTCCAAGGACAATAAATTCATAGTGGAACCGACAGACGATGCCTATTAATTTAGCGGAAACTCCGCTGTCTCGTAGGAGCCTGTCCCATGATAGGGGACTTTCCTCTACGTTTGTCATCATTTTAAATCAAACGCGACATTTGCATCTTAATAGAAATGTCATCAGCCGTACTCACTGCCTTTCTTTGTAAGATTTTATCCAGCCGCCAATAATCCCCACCGGGCGTTGGTCTTTTCATATGAATTTCTGGCGAGAGCCACCAATCCGCGATAAAAATCTCTTCCTTGGCGCTTTCCAATGCATCGGCCACAGCGGACATGTAATCGGCTCCGTCCACGAACCAAGTCGCGGATACGGACGAACGATACGGAGCAAACGAGTTATGCGGATTTGTTTGTATAAAATCTTTGCCTGCGTCAAAGTTAAATTAATCAGACTGTGGCACGGATACGCAGTATACACCTGGCACGTTCCGAGATCTCACCTTCCCTATTACTAACTTCTTGTATAAACTCCATCCACTCCTTAGCCTTGCGTTTTGTCCAACACTTGATAACTATGTGTCTACTCAGATTCGAAATCTGCATGCTGCTTCGCGAACCCGTGGTGTACACGCCCAGACTGATCCCAAAGCCGTTGTCCATCAAAATAACCGATCTTATTCTACCGTCCTGAGGATTGAGATACGCGACGAAGGTGTCCTTGACAACGAGATGCCTCTTCTGCCATTTGCCGCAAAGAGAGGTGCAGAGGTAACTGCACTTGAAGCAGAGCCCGCAATCCAACAGGCCGAAGTAACTGCACCTCGTTTTAGCGCCTGATCCGGTCCGCTTCAAAATCGTACCTTCCTTCCCCTTCATCCCCAGGTCGGCCACGAAGGACAACGGTGAGATATCCAAAAAATTTATCTGCAAACCAATGACGATGGGCAACGTCTCTCTCTCTCTCTCTCTTTACGGTTGATTGTCGTTGCTAAGAGTGTACTTACAGTTTCGGAATGTCGTCTGTAGATTTCTATGTTGAGTAAGTTACTTAGATAATCCTCCAGTTCCTTTCTCCTACGACTTAATTGCTCATAGGGCACCAGAATGTCAGGTTTATTGGGGAACCTGTAACAGTGTGATTATACGACTACACTTTTCCCGACTTACTTCGCCACGCAAATACGGCACGACTGTACCACTTTCATACCTCGGCAAAGCATTTCGTCTGCCCTTTCTCTCGCCCGCGGTTCTAAGATTCTTCATGCTGTTCCTCCTCTCCCTGTGGCTCTTTGTCGGGAAGGGTATGTTCAGGCTAGCGCGATATATTTTCAATTGATTATGCAGATACTGAATGTGCTTGTATCGCTTTTTAATGGTCCAGACAAAAGGTCCGTGTCTAAATTCTATGGTGTACAGATTCGGGTTCAGGGGATGCGTGGTCACGCTACGCTCGTTATCTATGATCTTTACGTGCACCTCCTCGCCGGGAATGAATACGTTGCGAGTTTGACTTTTGAACTTCGACGATGTGTTGTGTATAACGGTGAAAGGCATTACGCCAAGGGTTTCTAACAGAAGTAAGGAAGAAAGGAGAACATAAGATTGGTGGAAGAAACTATAAAATTAAATGTAAGAGTGCGCGAACGCAGCTTGGGGGGGGAGTGCCTGAGCTTTACAACGAATAAATTAGAAGAACAAATGGTGGGACAAGGCTCACGGGTTGTAAAAGTACGTAAACTCCATCAGTGACTGAAGTTACAGGGCAAGCTGAGCGGTATCAAGGTCGGAGGGAAACGGGCTGTCGAGGAACGTGCACACGACTCCCCAATATCCCCTACCTTTGCTGTCCGTGCACTCCGCCTCTCCTTTACGAACTTGTATCGTCTCCCCGTTTTCGTCGACCGTTATTTCTAATGACTCGGGTACCTCCAGAGCGTCGTCATATTCCGAATCCTGTGACATCGTGCGGCTTATGCTGCCACGTGGAGCAACCTCGACCATCTCAGTCGGCATCTTTGGCAAGTTTTCTGCAAGGAACCGTTATATCTCAATTTTCACACCAAATTCCCACACAGACTTATAACTTCTGGGCGTCAGAGGGGACCGAGGGATGTCGAGTGCGGTCTCGATTACTCCGAGCACGAGCGCCGGACGTCGGGGAACAGTACCGGCCGACTCGAGATCGAACATAGAAAAAGATAGCGAATCTCGTATATCGTCGCGTTGATAAAACACCCGATATCGGGCGTATTGCAAAAAATAGCAGATAAGACCCGCCGGGGAGGTAGAAAAAGAAAAGTTTCTTCCCTCCACTCCCCCGAAATTGCTCCCGAAGCGACGCTTCCTTCGAAGAGAAGCCACGTATACGCGATAATGCCGCGCTTATCGCGAATCACCCGATAAAAAGAAAATATAATATTCACCTCGCCTTACGCAGGACGCAGTTCTAGCCTAGACGCGTTCCGCCTGTCGAGCATCATCGACGGACGCGTACGCCGCCCGAGCACCCGCGCAACAATGCATCGTTTAACAGCTATCGCCCGCCTCTGGAGTAATCGCGCGCGCGTCAAGCGACGATGATCGCGACCGCCGCTGGCGCAGGATTAATGCCTATGTTACGCGATGATCCGTCACCACGCGACGCGACACGCGTTCACACGCGTTTACTCCGGTTTACTCATCGTTGATGACCGCATGGCCGACCACGCTTCTTCCGCCGACCGTAGGTACACGGAGTGTACCGTTAACGTTGCGATATCGCGCGTCCTTTCCCTCGCACCTCGCGCGTTCAAGGCGCACGTTCGGAAAAACGCCCGGTGGAAAAGGGAAAAATGGACTATCTGGTAGGAGACAACCGGGAATGACCAACCCGGTTTACGTTTTATTGCCGCGCGAGAGACGGAAAGATATTTCTCAAATCTGGACACGTAGAGGGAGAATAAAGAGAGGAAGAAGATTATACAGGAAGAAGAGAAGAGTTTTAATGAAGCTGTCACAACGCGCGTGAAAATTCATTACATTTTAAATAGGAATGTAGCCCATACAGCACAGAAAGTTAAAATAACGTTGCTGAAACGTTGCAATGTTGAAGTATAAATATCTTTCCTACGTTGGATCTAGGTTAATGTTTGCACATAAATTCTCTATATTGCTGCAACGTTAAAACAATCTTGAACAAATTATTATTATTTTTTTACACTCAAATAGTAGATTAAAATAGTGGCAAAATATTCTCTCTCTCCACCCAGTTTCTATTCTAAAAACATATACTTAAAAGTTTGTTCTTATTACATCAATTCTGAGCTCTTTCTCGGACACAAAAGGAATTCTTTTTATATCCTATAAAAATTCATGCCGCGGGGAAAGTTTATAGTTTATTTTGAATAGGTTACGCTAATTCATAAAAGATTTTAAAAAGTGAATTTTTTTAAATTTAGAACTGCGTTATTTGGAATGTAATGAATTTTTACGCGTACTCATTAAGATTCTTCTTTTCCTTTATCTTTTCCTTTATCTTTCTTATTCTCCCCCTTCTTCTTTTTCCTTCAATTTCCAGTGAACACTAATTCATAAAAGATTTTAAAAAGTTAATTTTTAAAGTTAATTTAAAATTTAGAACTGCATTATTTGGAATGCAATGAATTTTTACGTGTACTCATTAAGATTCTTCTTTTCCTTTATCTTCTTTATCTTTCTTATTCTCCCTCTTCTTCTTTTTCCTTCAATTTCCAGTGAACACCGAGCATTAGTTACATCGCACTCTTGTTACAACTTTTCACTCAACAATGTAAATGCAATATAACACAGGTGTGTTTACATAAATGCAATGTAATTCGTGCTCGGTGTTTACTGGGTTGTGATTTCTTCCTTCGCAATCTAGAATCTCGAATCCGGTGTAGATTAATTATTAGCTCATCGGATTTCCACATATTCTGTACGTTCCAAATGAACAAGAAATTCAAAATTATCTTAACAGTTTCCAAACCTGGTTGAAAAGATGATTACACTCGTCTGAAACTATGTCGGTAAGGCAGTTATCCCTTTTTTATGCGAGACAGGAAAGAATCTACTCTCTTCTTCGATTGAAAAACCCGTCTCCAGTCTAGTCAATTCCTTTGTATTTTAATGAATGTTCCGTGATTACCCTAAGAAGAATTCGCGCTTTCGCCTCGGTCGGAATGAAAAGAGGGGCCGTCACCGATGAGTCGAAGTATCGAGAAATCGTTCGACTTTCCACTTCCTTTAATTTAACATTGCGTTTTCAGCTAGAAGCGGAGTTCTACCTCGCGTCGTCGCGCTAATGTCCAATATTAGCGCGATCGGGCACATCGCGAAAGTAATTGGATCGCGCGTGTCATTTTCTCCGATGTTTTAACCGACTTTCAGCGAAATATCGGCTATCACGCGTTATCGGGCCCCGTAACGATCTACTTCTCGACATGAATGTCAAGGAGAAAGCGACGTACATCGTGACGTGCTGCGCGATTTTCTATCAGTTTTTGTCATATAACTTTGTATTCGTATTTAATTACTCGCGTATTAACTGCGTTTCATCTCATTATGACGATACAACGTGCTTGAGTCAGGCCTGTTAACTTTAGATGCACTTTCTGCATTTCGTCTTCCTTTCCTCTTCTCTTTTACGGATCACATTTTATTCGTCTGTTTTGTTTTAATCTCAAGAGAGCGAGAAACAAGCGAAAACTTCTTTTCCGTAAAAGAATTTCAAAGATTCGCGAATATAAATTTTTTCCTCCTTCGATATCGTGGGACTCTAATTTACTCCTATTGTATAATCGCAATTATGCGTATTAGAAGGTATTTATAGAGTCCGCGGGACATACTTCATCGAATAAAAATGTCATAACTCAACACGAGCAACGTATAATATCATATTTTTGTAGAGTCTGCACGATCTGATCTTTGAAAATTATACTTTTGCTTTATTATCTAAATTTTGCTTTGTCAAAGAGCAATTGCCCATTGTCTTAATTATATATTACACAAAACTGAGACGTAAATATTTGCCAGGCAACGTATCCTGCAAAAGGAGACGGTTCTCTAACCTGTTCTAAAATAAGAAGAGACATATCTTATTTTTCTAACAATATTAAAATAAGGGGGAAAAAATATTTCAATTCAGATGTCGCGGGAATACTATAATAGAGATGATAGGCGTAGTTTGGCGACTGTTTGGTACACTGAAAAAAATTTCTGGTTGAATATGGACGAATCAGATAATTCCTTTAGGATTTACCAGAATTCCTGTAATCCTACAGAAAATCTGGTAAATCCTAAAGGAATTCTGGTAAATCCTAAAGGAATTATCTGATTCGTCCATATTCAACCAGAAATTTTTTTCAGTGTACACATACCAAAGTGTACCAGAGTGTACACTCGGCGTCATGAATGCCTTTACACCTGAAGAAAGACGCTAAAGATATCAGAGAGGAAGATTTATTTTAATAAAATAAATTGTTCTATCGAAATACATTGAACTACACGGCTATTTTCAGGTGCAAAAGCATTCGTGACGCCGAATGTACACTCTGGTACACTTTGGTACCAAACAATCGTAAAAAATCGCCTATTGTAATGACAAGGAGAAAATACAATATTCTATTACGCTGTACCACAAATATTTAATAAGCGAGTCGGTCATTTCTTTTTACAATTCCCTGATTGTATATGGTAATCTGAATATCTCAAAAGCCTTGAAGATATACCTGCCGGATATCCTTGGGACTTATATTTCGCTATACAAATTTTTCGCAGGCCTACTCTTTCGACACTGGCCGTATCGCATTATCTCGCTGTTCGAATAACTCGATCAATGCATAATTAATTATTTATCGTACGCGCCCCTTTTTGTAAACGCGGTTCGTGAACCTATCAATAATGACATGCACTCCACACATACTTATTTTACATCCGGATTGCATGTTAAAAGAAAGTACAAGGATAACAGCCGACTTTACTCTGTCACATTATTAGTTGCGAAATAAAACGCATGTTTGTGATTCGAAAGGAATATTATTCTAAATTTTTTCGCTTAATATTACTATTATTTTTAGTTTAATAAGCATTTAAATTATAAATAAGTAATATTGTTAAAAGAAATAGAACCACGCTCGTTTCTAAGTAGTAACAAATATTCCAAGTCACGGTCAATGTATTCGACGAGCAAAAGTGGGTTTTACAGTTAACACAAATTAGCAATTATGTAAAATAAAATTGTTAATTTGTATTAATTGTAAAACTTTTGCTCGCAGAATACATTAACCGTAACTTTGAATAAGAGCAAAAATTGTATCTTCAAAAATGCAGTTCTAAATATTCTCAAAAATTATATTTGTTGTACATGGATAATTAATATTTATATATGTGACTATAAAATTAATTATTTATTCATTAATATCATATTAACAGAATCAATGCGTTGATAACTTTAAACTTAGCTTTTTCCCTCGCTATAATTTAAAATTAATTATAATTCAATGGTAATATAAAAATAGTTTATTCACTTTAACTTTACAGTCAAGAAATAGGACTTGGGGTTCTATTCTGTAATCGGCTACTTTACATGATAGAAAAGCTGCGCAAACATCGTTAATGATATCGATAGTTGTCGGTAACCGAGTACAGAATAGAGCCCTTGGTTTACAATTGCACTTATGTCCATCCACTCTATTCGCATTCTCATTCATCCGTACACACCGCATATTATCGTATCCTATTCTCTTAATCTATTCTGTCCGTTTGCATCTCGTCATCCTATTCGCGGTCTAATTCTCTTTCTATCGTTATTTGCTTAAGAGAAAGTATAGTGCAAAAAATTTGCAAAAAATATAATTGTAATTTAGAATTTTGCTAAAGTTGTTAAGTTGATTAGAGAAAAGTTCCCTATTGTGAGACAAGCTTCTAATTTGAGGTAGCGGGATTTCTTTTAAATCAATAGACATCATATATCTGTTGGTTCTATCGTGAATTTATTGCCCTTGGAGTGAAATGTGTTTAGTGGGAAATTCATTGTTGGATCGTGTCAACGTCGCGGAAAAAGATGTTTTATTGAATTTGGATGTTGAAAGGCTACTCACTCAGAAGTCTGTCTCGTAATAGGCGGCTTTCCTCTATTATTATTAAGTGTGGCGATCGTGACGCTGAGAGATGAGCACTGCTCTAATAAGCCGAAGATCCGCGAATTCAAATCCGTCCAAAAATTATCTGCTTCTATTTCTCTCTCTCACTCTCTTTCTAAAAAAAAAGGTCACTTATCAGAATAAAGTGATAACCCACTGATTATAGAAGACCCTACTATGAACACGCCTCAATATGTAGAGCTTGATTTAAAACTTTAGATTCAAACTGATCAAATAGTTTTCTAAAATGATAAAATTTTCTAAAATAACTGATTTCCCAATAAAAACCTGCAATATTCAATGTTACGACTTTCTCAATGGAAAGTGATGACACGGGTGAGATTCTGCCAGGACGAGATTGGTGCTACATTTATTATCACCCTAGTAGCATTGACCTCCCCCCCCCGTGCATTGACCAAACATTGGTTAAACATTGGCCCGATACAATCAAATATTGGGCCAATATTTAGCCAGTGCACTGTGCTACCAGGGCACGTATTTGCATATATTTAGAGAAACAAACTATCATACATAGGAATTATAAAAATCATATTGAAATAATTAACGCTTTCGCTATCTCCGTTGTATACGATTGTTATTTCGACCTTCCTGCGCGTACCTTTTCATTTTGCTCCGTAACTCCTTGAGAGATCCTTTCTCTTTCGTGGTCTCAGACCTCTTTTCTTTTGCCTCCGCACCGAGTCCATTCGATAAAACCCAAGTATTCGGGAGTTAATATCTTATATCTCGTGGAAAATGGTTCAAGGCCCTTCATGCGTGAGGTGATCGTGTTTTATACACAAACAACTAACTTTGATTTGCGAGCGAACATTTTACATTCAGGATCTTTTGCGTTACTGTCTATGTGCGATCTAAAATATCGACATACGCATTCGTCGAACGATCGACGGTGATTATAACCGCAATAGAGGCGGAAAAAGGGGTCCAACGAATTGGTACAATTTACGCGGCGAGGAAAGATCGTTTGACGACCGGTTTGACGAGAATAACGGCTATTGTTCGACAATACCAAAATATATCTACACACAGTCTCACAATTAGTCTTAATCTCAATCTCGTGTACGGAGGCGTTGAGAAATACCTAAGTATATTCGCGAAATACATTCTTACGTCTACTAAGCTCCCCCAGTAGCACAGTGCATTGGCTAAACATTGGTCTAATGTTGATTATATTAGAGATGCGCTGGCCGATATTGTCCAACGTAAAGTCAATTTTGGCCATGGAATAAATGTAGGCATTGTGTATATGTGATATATATACGATAATAATTATATAATATTAGATTTATAGTGGAAGTGCGTTGGCCAATATTTAACAATGTAATAAGGATATTGGTCTAACATTAAACCGATATTGCTAAAGAGACATATTGGCTAAATAAGAGAAGGCGTCCATCTTACAATATTCGATCAATCCCAGGTAGAACACAAAATCAT